ATCTTGTTCAATTAAATTGCATTGCATATACTTGAGAATTTTGGGCATATATGAAATATGATTTAAGACTTTGATGGGTATTTTCATTCATGGACATTTGGATGCTGAGAATAAATTGATTAATCAGAACTTGCATTACAATTTTTATTTGAAGGGGTCTAAGACGAAGCTGGGGATGCTTAAGATCATTTTATTGCTTGAATTCATGGTAGGTTCGAGGATGGATATTGCATAGATTATTTGGGGGCTTATGCGAGAATATTGTACGACGAGGAAGCCAAAAGGGAACATGCCCTTTGGATGTATGGTTATAGACCTCTGCCTCAAAGCTGGGATGAAGAAGGGACCATCAGATTAGCCTTCCTGAGCTTGGACCTATTAGTAACTGGAGCAAGAGAAAGGTTCGACTATGTCTAAAGTTGGTGGATCTGGGAGTCAGATTGCATCTATTTCTTTTGCTACTACACATCAATCTCCTACCTATTGAGCTTTCACAAAGTAGGCTAGAAACAAAGGTTGGTTGGCGATTTTATGAGGATTATACATCGGTTATTTGAGGTTCTAATTTTAGGAGAGACAACTCTGAAGGTTACTTTGTTGCTTACTGCAACACCTACTACTTCTATACCAGTAGGATCACCACCTATTGTTGCGCAACCCATTAGTGTTGCTAAGGAGAGTAGTAGTGGGGAGTATTCAACTAGTTCTGAGGAGGATGATAGTTTTGATGAATCTAATGCTTCTAAATGATGTTGGACTTAGGATGTCTTCTTTTGATTGTCTTGTTTTTTGGGAGTTATTAGGATTTAATAGTTAGGTTATTTGTCTTTTTGGGTTTTGATAGCGTAAGTAGGAGAACCATAGGTTTTAGCAAGGCTATTACATTTTGCTTTTTTTTCCCAAGGGCGAAATTAATCTACTTAAGTACTTTTTGATTTCAGTATCTTCCTTGAGTTCATAAAGCATTTGCGTTGCAATTTATTATGTTTGCAATGTTTGATTGATTGCTTTGGAATTTAAGGTGTAATGTTTGGATATTATTTTTGTTTTGTTTTAGTTTGCTAGGGAATAGCAAACCCTAAGTTGGGAGAATGTTGAATACAAAATATTGCACATTTTATGTCTCAAACTACTCACTTTAGCTTTGTTTATTAGTTATATATATATTTTTTAGTTGAGGTTGAGTTTGAGTTTTATGAGGAATCTTTGCATTTGCCGGTAATTTGTGTAAAGATGATGGTTTTATATTTATTTTAATTCTTAGGAGGACTTAGGGAATGAGCTAGATGAGTCAAAGATGAAACCAGGAGCGTTGCAGTGAGAATTCAGAAAAAGATTGGTTTTATCAATAGGTTTTCTACCAATTCATCAAGTGGCAGAAAGTTTTCTACCAGTAGTAGTGAAGTTCTACCAGTTCATATCAAAATAGAATCTTTGCTACTGGTTCATATCTATTTTACCTACTGGTTCATCTGAAATAGAGAATAGTTCTAGTAGTTTGTTGTTGTTCACCTACTGGTTCATCGTAAACAGAACACTAAAATATTGATAGTCAGGGTTGCTTCCTTTTGGTTCATCAGAGTTAAAATGCAATCAATACACTTTTTGAAATCTATTAGCAGAGGCCTTTCACGAGTCTCATTGGTGGTAAGCAAAAAGAAAGAAGGAATTTAGCTGAGGTTTGTCTCTTAAATACCAAAATTGAAGAGAAAGGAGTCCTCTCCCCTTCCAACGTCTAATCTCTCTCTCAACATTTTTAGCAGCTAGGGTTTTGAGAGTTCTTCATGTTCTTGTTCTGAGTAATTCTAAGGCATTGTCTTTACTAAGTTTATTTATTTATTGCAAGCAAAGTACATTCGATTCCTAGTTCTTGTAATTGTTCTCAACTTTTGTCTTCAATACAAGGTATTTGGTTTATATTTTGGTTTCAATACAAGTTTTATTTTTTCTTTCAAACATCATGTCTTCTATATGTGTTTTTTATTTTACTTTCAATATGTGTGAGTAGTTTAATTCCGGTATAATCGGATGAGGATTCTCCATTTGTGAATGGATAGTTTTGTCCTAATTAGGGTTTTATTGTTCAAAGTTATTTTCCATTGATTGAAATGATTGCTTTTGAAAACATAGTTGATTTGTAAACATCTTTGCTTATTCATAGACAATTAAATTTGACACGAGTAATTCCTAGAATCTCTGCAATCAACATGACATTAATTCTTTCATGAATTAATTCAATCAATTAACATACATATTTTCTAAATTTTGGTTTTAGTTGAATATTCACTATCCAAGTCAGTTTGATTACGATCTTGAATGCGTAATAAATTAGGTCAAAATTCTTATTCATGGTGGGATGAACTCTGATTATCTGATTCGTTTTAATATCGCTTCTTAATTTTTACTGATCATTAACACACTTTTGAATTAAAAATTTTTATTTTAATTTTAATTTCATCACTATTTAAATCTGTCCTAATTTTTCCTGAGGAGATGACTTTAGTAATCGATCGAGTTACTATTCGATATAATTTCTTACGTTTTTGGGAAGTAGGAAATTAAGATTTTACCACGCATTTGGGAGCAAGCAATAAGTTCAAGAAGTATGAGATAAAACTTACAAAAACACCTGTTGATGTGAACATCCATTTTTTCTAAAAATAATGATGAAATCATATTTGAAATAGAATATGCATGTATAATAGTTAGTCTAATACATCATGAATTATACCTGTCTAAATATAGCATAATCAGCGAGTAAATTGATACACAAGTAATCCTAGTAAAGACCTTTTGCCAATAATACTTAGGGTTTTGAGATATTTAAAATATACCAAAACTATAGTTTGCACTAGAAAAAAAATACCTAGTTGTACTTGAAGGAGATATCTGATACTAAAGATTCAAAATATATGAGTGGATATTTCTTTACTTTGGAAAGTGCAGCCGTGTTTTGAAAATTCTCAAAGTAATCATGTATTGCTAGATTTACAATGAAGTCTAAATTCATTGCCTTAGATAAAGCTATAGAAGCAGAATGACTTCACTCCTTCTTATAGGATATTCAAAATTGGTAAAAGTCTATGTCAGCAATACGTATACACTGTGATAGCCAGTCTACGATTCAAATGGCAAAAAATAATATGTATAATGATAAGTCTCGACACATACGTCATAGACATAATACCGTTAAATAGATGTTCTCGAATGGTATTATATTCATTGACTATGTGAAGTTAAAAGATAATATCATGGATTTGCTTAAAAAAAAGTTTGACTAGAGAACAAATAGAAAGGTCATCGAAGAGAATAGGCTTAAAGCCTATTACTTAACCAAGAGTCACCATAATGATAACCCAACTTAGTGACTGGAGATCTCAAGATCTAGGTTAAAAAGCACAACCAAATTATGTATAACTTAGAGACAAACTAAGGAGGTTTTCAACTTCTTCCCATTCCTATGATGAAACAGTATATATCTGCCGTAAAACTGGGGCAAGTTATATTTTTAATGAATTCTATGACTCAGAGAAGTTCAAGTAGGGTATAGCAAAACACTCTCAATCATAAATTGTCTATGTTAATAAGAAGGGGCCACTTCTATGAGAATCTTAGGCTGAATTCTGTAAATTACTCATGAAACCAAGTGGCAATTTTGTGCTTTCTAGATTTGGCCTCGGCCAAAATGAACACAAACCTAATAACCAATTGTGTCCGAAGGAAAATTGTGTGAATTCTATTGTCTTGGTTTATACAAACAACTGACAGTTCAAAGGCATAAAGTTCACTGATTAGCCAAGTAAAATCGATAGTCTTTCACTAAGGAAAGTTCAAGGCCTTTAGGCTACTTATCCCGATGTAGTAACCTTTCAACTGTACTTGAATTAATGTTTGTATTTTTATACAACCAATTTTCATTCATGTGGGGGATTATTCAAAAAATTGATTATGAACAACTTGATTTGGAGCAACTTTGGGCTTAAATAAAAATGGGATTCACACCACAGAATTGTTGGGTCCATATTTAAATGTTTTGATGCACAAAATATTCTCGTGCAAGATCAACAGTCAAGTGTGTGATAAGGTATAATTAATGGACAATAAATAAAATAATTAATGACAGTAATGTAAATATTTAGTCAACACACAGATATATAGTGGTTCAATTTGGGTGACCTATTCTACTTTAAAAAATGACAACGGTGGCCGATGGATCTTTATTGATGAATAAAGTAAGAGAGAAAGCTTTGGGAGAGGTGCGATAGTTAGGAGAAAAGCTAAGTATGTATAGAGAGCTATAGAGGTAGAGCTCAATGTATCATCTCATGTAGAGAGAGCTCACAATTTATAGGCATGGTGAAGTGGTGACGTAAGGGTAAAGACACTCGCTTTTTGGGGAGGATAGCTATAAAAGGTAAGTATAATTAAGATCGCTTTGATTTTCGAGGGTGAGTACCCCGATGATCTCTCTCCCACGGGCTCTTATCTGTCTGAGCTCCTTGGGTGTTGGACTGGGTTGGATTCACGAACTGGACTTGCCATTCCTTTTAACTGATTTTGACCTGCTTGATTTATTGGGCCTGACTTAGTTGAATTTGGGCTCATCATTTGCCTCCCATACCCCAAGCCCTTGCGATGACAAGAAATTAAGGGCATGAGTGAGCTCGAGCTCGAGCTTTTCTTTTAAGCAACCCAGGTACCATCATTCCCACAAAAACTAGCCATTACCTTGAAAACTCACTACTCCACCTTCTAATTTTATCGTAGTACCACTATAGAGGAAACTTTCCATCGAAGCCTTCATTATTAATAGAGGATTCGGAGAATAAGGGTTTTATAGACGGTGCTTCCTGGGAAAATCCACTAATGGAGAGTAGAAAGGCAACCCAAGGTAGCACAGGGGTAGATGCCATTCGAGGGAAACTAGTGGTGACGCTAATTGACATGGATCTCATCACATTGCCAAAGGAGGTGGCTGCACCGGCGCCTCGCGATGCACAATGTTGAGCTGCTTAGAAGGAAATGGAGGCAATCATGTTCGAGATAAACTTGCAGGAGCAAGAGGCGCCTCTAGTACTGGCATAGGTCACACCCGAGACACTGGCGACAGTAGACAGAGTGCAGGAGGCAACGCTCACAAAGTCCAATGCGAAGGATGTGACGCGTGGAGGGTGACCCCAAATCGCTCGTGGGAAATGATGCTGGTGCTGAGGGGCTGTCAGGTAGTACTAAGAAATGCCTGGGCGCTGGCTGGTGACGCCTTGGTCTAGGCGATGTAGGTGACACACTTGATGGCCATTTAGACAGTGTTGATAGGGCAAACGGTGAAGACATTAGAGGAGGATGCCTTGGAAGTGACCTAGGTGAACATTGTTCGGGTGAGGTTAAGGGTGCTCCAGGCGCTGGTGAGGCACTAGGTGGCTAGGCAACGACTGCGCAGAATAGCGGCTGACAACGCCATGCTAGGAGAGCAGGCAAGGGACTCTGGGCACTGGCTGGCAAAGGGCGCCAAACGTAGGACGCCTGCGCTGGGCAAAGTCCTAGAGTAGGAGGCAATGCTGGTTGACGCAGAAGGCTAGTCTTGGCGATGGCAACGGATGCTATGCGGTCTGGGCGACGCCTGGGAAAAGTTAGGAGAAAAGAGCCCGCGCTGGGGCACTTGACTAGATTATTAGAAAATCATGAAAAACTGGTAAACTTTGAACAATCATAATTTTGCGCACAATTGTTCGTTTGAGGCGATTTTTTTTGAATATGGGTATTTTTTCAAAATCTAAGACAAACAATTGCCGAAGGTGGTTTGGTCATCAAATTTCTTCAAAAAATGATTCTATCTCTCTCAATTTGAGTTTTAAACACAAATTAGTAAAACCGACAGTGGTGGAAAGCTGTGTTTTGGTAGATAGCTATTAGGTATTCATGGGCGACGGGTAAGTGTTCTGGGTTTTCGCTAAAGAGAGAGACTATGATGGCTTTCAGCTATGCTAGTTCTTAACCTTGTCTCTGATTACAGGCGCTCCCGTTGATAGAGCGATAATAGAGATGGAGGTTCTCTATGCTTCTAGGGTAGCGTCTTCCCCTCTTCTCAAAAGGGCGAGATTTGATTCCCCCAGTTCTTTTTAGCTGAGGTCCGTTGGCCAGGTTGCTTCCCGAGAGGAGGATCCGATGGTGCCCCCACTCCTTTCTAGACTAGGACTTCTGTGTATATTGGAACTAGCCCATGTACTACTGTAGAAGTTGAGACTCTAGTGCATTTTCTATGGGGATTGTAGCTTTACCTAGTTGCCCTGCTACTACTAGTGTTTCTGTGTTCATGCTTTGACATGACTTTGGCCAAGGAGTAGCTTTGGAGGTCTGCGACTCCCGGAGATATCAGAAAGGCTAGATCTCGAGGTCTAGAGGGCATTATCAACTTTGATTTTGCACCCGTCTCCTTTCCTTTATATTCTACTTTTTGAATGGTTGCAGGCTGCTGTTGTTTTTCCCTACCTTTGTCAAAGACATTGAAGCTTGGAGAGCCATTCAAGAATCTAGTAATAGAGAGGCCAGTATGAGGGGCTGTTGAGTGCAATTGAGGTTAACTCATGAGAGAGTAACACCTTTTGAGGTCGAGCTTCTTGGGAACTCCTCAGAGAGGCGCTAAGCTGGGATTGAGCCTGCTTTAGGCCGAGTTTCTTGATGACTCGTGAGAGAGCACAAAGCTGGATACATAAACTATTTGGGAGCAGAGATAGGATTAGGTCGAGCTTTCTGGTGACTCATGAGAGAGATGCTAAGTTGGAGATATAGGCTACCTGTTTGAGAGCAGAGTAGAGATAAACCAAGCTTTTGACGACTCGTGAGAGAGCCGCTAAGCTGGAGATATAGGCTGTCTGCTTGAGAGCATAACAGAGATAGGATAAGCTTTTGACGACTCTCGTGAGAGCCGTTAAGTTGGAGATATAGGCTGCCTATGTGGGAGTAGAGCAGAGATAGACCGAGATTCTTGGCGACTCGAGAGAGCGTGAAGCTGGAGATATAAGTTGTCTGCCTAAGAGCATAGTAGAGATAGGCCAAACTTTTGGACAATTCTTGTGAGAGCTGCTAAGCTGGAAATATAAGTAGCTTGCTTGAGAGTAGAGCAGAGATAGACCAAACTTTTGGCGACTCTCGTGAGAGCCGCTAAGCTAGAGATATAGATTGCTTACATGGGAGCGGAGTAGAGATAGCCCGAGCTTCTTGGGGACTCATGAGAGAGCGCGAAGCGGAGATATAGATTGCTTGCTTGAGAGATAGTAGAGATAGACCAAGATTTTTGGCGACTCTCGTGAGAGCCACTAAGCTGGATACATAGGTTGTTTGCTTGAGAGCAGAACAGAGATAGACCAAACTTTTGGTGACTCTTGTGAGAACCTCTGAGATGGAGATATAGGCTGCTCGCATGGGAGTAGAGTAGAGATAAGCCGAGCTTCTTGGTGACTCGTGAGAGAGTGCAAAGTTGGAGATATAGGCTGCCTACTTGAGAAATAGCAAAGATAGACCAAGCTTTTTGGCGACCCTCGTGAGAGCCGCTATGCTGGAGATTGAGATTTGGGCGCCGTTGGGTGAGGATGACGAGGGGCACTAGGCACCGCTGGGTATAAATACCGAGGGGCCCTAGGCACAGGTATAGTGCTTTAGGTCGCTTGACTCGGGTTGTTTACGCGGCACCTCGAGTCACTTGGGCGAGGCCTCAGGTCGCTCGAGTAGAGTCTTGGGTCGCTCGGGTGGTGACTCGGGTAGCACAAGAAAGCGGCTAGGCAGTCACTTGATTTTGGCTTTGTCCCATATGAGACACCAGAAGTAGATGGTGATGGAGAGAGCCTTAATGCTAGTGGCTTGGGGAGTAGTGACTGATCGTCGGGAGTATGACGATTTTTGTCTTTTTGTCTACCTTGATGTTAGCTGATGTTAAGCTATTTTCAAACTTTATGAAATGAAAGCAAGACAGTTCTGGATACAATAATCTTCACAAAGTTTTATTTCATAAAATAATAAATAATAGAATAAATCAACTAAAATAATAAAGGACATATAAAATGAGAGCCACTGGCTTGTACCCACAATTGATAATAGCTCTTCAGGTGTTCGGTGTCCTATAGATGACACAAGACTTTCCTGGTGAAGTTGGAGTTGCCTCCTCCTCCTAGCCGTCAAGAGATCGTTTGGATTTCATCGAGGGGTTACTAGCATTCTCTTTCATCTTGGTCCCAGTCAGGTGGCGGGACTTGTCCTCTGTCAGCAATGTATTGCCTCAACTGGCCGTGTTGTATGAGCTCCTTGATCTACCTCTTGAGCTCATAGCATTCATCAGTATCGTGGCCATGGTCGCGGTGAAAACGACAATACTTGCTTAGATTTATTCGATTTGGGGCGGACTTCATTTTGCCTGGCCAACGAAGCGCGGGGTCGTCCTGTATTTGGAATAGGATATGCTCCATTGAAGCGTTGAGTGGCGTAAAGGCTTGCCGCTCTCTCGGAGGTGGGAGACCAAGGTGGTCTTTGACAAAGGCTCTCTCTGTCCTATTCCTCTTGTTCTCTACTTCTCTTTTGTCTTTGTGGATATCCTTTATTTTCTCCCCCCTGCGGGAGGACTCACCTTGTTGGGCTTTGGTGAAGTCCTCAGCATTCATATACTTTTGTGCCCTTGATAGTAGTTCTGGCGTGCTAGAGGGTGGCTTCTTTAGGACAGAGAATAGAAAACCGAAGGAGCGCAAACCTACAATGAAGGCGACCATGGTTACCTTATCGTCTGGCTCCGTGAAGGAGTGGATAGAGGAGGGTTTGATTTTCGCGAACCATTGTCGAGTAGACCCTGTCAAGGTAGTAGGGAAGACTCTACACATAAGCTTATCAGACACGTTGTGGAGTTGCATGTGGAACTTATAGGTGTCAAGGTGATCTAGAGGTTCTTTGGTACAGTTGAAGATCTCAATGGCAAGAATCTTGAACTTCGAGGGTAAGGGGTAATTGGCAATATCTGCAACGAACGGAGTATCAGTGTGCCTTACTAAGTAATCCACCATCTTTGGTGCATGTGCTTTGATGGCATTGAGGGTATCACCGAGCTGGTTTTGTACCTCCCTGATCTTCTTGTCCCATTGGTTGGAGACATTCTTGGTCGGGTAATTGTAATGGCTTTCATGATCCGCATACTGGCTTTCTCCCTCGCCTTCCTGTGCAGATACATGAGGAGGGGAAACATGTGAGCTTCCTGCGCACTAAGGAGGGACTCTTGGGCGAGGGGCACCTGGGCGTTGCCCGGGGGTGTTCTGGCGCGAGGCTCCACGGTGGGGGCTAGCTTGGCACCCAGAGTGGAGAGGTTGCTGTGCTTTTCCCGTTGGAGGGAGTGACGCTCCTCCTATAGGCTGAGGGGCAACACCTCCTGAGGTGAGCATCAAGTGGATGATTTGCTAGTTCTGATTTACCAGCTGCTGTATGGTCTACAAAAGCTGTTGCCCGACCATAGGAGTTGTCGTACTGGATGGTTCTGAGGGTGCGAGGGGAGGTGGAGCCTTCTCCCGAGGGGTCGGGTTGTTGTCTCCCGGTTGTTGAATCATCAACCTGGTCATGATTGCCATGGAGTAGCAAGGTAGTAGAAAACTTGGTCATTTTTCACAGATGACACCAAACTGATGATGCACAAAATAGTCTTGTGCAAGATTAACAGTCGAGTGAGTGATAAGGTGTAATTAATGGATAATAAATAATGCAATCAATGATAGTAATGTAAATATTGAGTCAACACACAAATATATATTGGTTCGGTCCGGGTGACCTACTTCACTTTGAGAAATCGCAACAATGGTCGGGGGGTCTTTATTGATGAATAAAGTAATAGATTGTCACGCCCCATCCCGAATTTTCAAGGATGAGATGCGACTAGGTTTTTAATACACATGTTTACAATTATTATAAGCTGTACTAATCAAACATGATCTCACAGGTGCAACAACACTACTTATCACCTTAGTTATTAAGCACGATGGTAAAACCTGTCTTATAACTTGTACCATATATAAAACACCTGTATCAATCATTTGTTTCCCCAGGTTATATAGAAATATACAAACTCCCACACTCACATAGCATACATCACAAAGTATGCTTATTGAGTCGATTTACAAATATGTACTATTAACCTGCCATAATAAGCTCCCACTAATACCAATATACAACCCAAAAATTAGTTATACTAACATTCAACCTGAGTGATATTACACTAACGTTTGCACAAGACTCAATCAACTAGACAGTGGATCGGTCTGTATTCTCCTGTATAGTACCTGAAAAGAATAAACTGTAGGGGTGTGAGCTAAACCACACGCTCAGTGAGTATACATGTAGTATATGGAATGAAAATGATAGTAATACACTGAAGTAGATAGATACTACGTAGATACACGT